CATTTATATGTGGAAAAAAATTCTGACGAGTAGATATGTCAAGTATGTGCGATGTTTTCACTCTACTTTGTTCCAGGTAATGAAGGACTGGTAGTTTAATTTCCCCACAATCATATAATCACCCTAAACGAAATAGGATGAATAGGCCTCATATAAGTGACTGATTGATAGTCTTGACAATTCGCTTTATGAGCGAAAAAATATATATCAAGTAGGAAAGAGTCGGTGCGTCTTCTTGAATTAGCGTTAACTTGATACCTCAATTCGTCATATGACAACCGAAGGCTCAGTCCGTTTCCACCCGAAACAAGGGAGGCGAATCTGCTGTCGTCATAAGAAATGGAAGTCTTCATAGGATACAGTTAATGAGAGAATCTTTGAGGTCCCTCTTCTTTCCACAACATCCACATCGCACCAAAATGCTTATGGGTTAAGGAAAGTTTTGTTTCGAAGACTGCTTTAGTGATTTATTGTGACCTGATTTTTTATTGCGAGGGAACATTTGATTTGGAGGAATTCGTGAATTGGTTTCACGTGAAAACGATTGAAACATGCAAATAATTTCTCGGCTCACTGTTCTGCTCATCTTTCTCACGTGCTGTCGTGACATTCTGCTATTTGGTCAGCCATTTCATGCATAACTCATCTGCAAGACTTTGTTATAGTCGCAATGTTCAGCTTGAGCGGTGAGTGTATTTGGTGTTTTATTCTTAACTCATGGCTTTTTGTTCTTACGCTGTTTTTCAGTTGACAGACACTATCCCAGAACAGGTTGATCAGAGGCCAAATTGCACATTCATGTCACAATACATCTGACGTCTATGAGTTATTTTTACCCTATTCTGTTTTAGGTGATGAAGGAGCGGTAGTTTAATTTTCCCACAATCATATGCATTTCACACAGCCTTGCTTCTCCCAAAGTTACTCTCATCCGCGGTTGACTGCACTTTCGATCGCGCCCAAGTCTCATCAACCCACCCAACGGGACTTGAACCATGACAATCTAGCGTGTATTCTTGACATTGTCACATTTCCACATTGCCATGGGTGCCCTTGGATGAGAGGGCAGATGTGAATTTCATGGATATCCCATATCAAACAATCGACTACTTTTTTTATTTTTTATTTTTGACTGCTTTTCGGGACTACCAACAAATCAGACATGGGAATTTCGGCTCTACTCATATGATTGTGAGAACATACCGCATGGAAGTCTCGAAAAAGCCTCCAACGTTTGTTGCATTCGGTGTCGGTCATTTATGCTACTTGTGCTTCTGCTCTGGCTGTTACGACTGCTAGCATTATTTAACCTTTTTTGATCAAGTTTTTTCCGATTAATCTCATTTTTATCGCGTAACCGACTGAGAAATGTCTAACAGAAGGTTAAAGCGGACTGTAAAATGTGTGTCTCAGTTGAATTGACGATCTGGATTGTCAAAAATAAAGCTCCAGGCTTCCCTGTTTCCGCGTCTCTATATCCCTTTTCAGGTGCTTCCCGCTCTCCTTCCGGCCAACAACGCCGCCATCCCGACCCTTGTCAACAACAACACCAACACAGCCCTCAGTTCCGGTCGAACCGGCAGCCCTGCCAACATTTCACTCGTTTCACTCGGCACGCCCGGACTTCTCTCGACCACGCCGATCGGCTTGGCCTCTCTCGGCAGCGGTCCTGGACCCCTAACTCCAAGTCCAACCTCCACGTCCACGTCCACGTCCACGCACACTCCCACGCCAACGCAGACACCAACGCCTCCGCTTTTGGCGACAGCCACAGCGACTGTCAGTCCCTTTTTCACCTCAACCTGTATGCCCGCTACCGGTCTGTTTGGCCCATCCTCGGGCGCCTCCACGCCCATTCCATGCGTAACTACGGCACCTGGCAACGCTCCCACTTCCCAATCGCCCTTAACAGTATCAAAGGCTGGTGGTGGTGCTGGTGGTGTTGGTGTTGGTGGCACCGGCTGGAAGAATCATCTGCCACCAGCACATGGCGCACATTTTCATTACCAGCATCAGTCATATCATCATCATCATCATCATCATCACCATCAACAACAACAACTGCAGCAGCAACAACAACTGCAGCAGCAGCAGCAGCAGCAGCAGCAACAACAACAACAACAACAGCAACAACCACTTCTTCCCTTTACCTCGTCACATCATCACAGCTTTGGTCTGATGAACAACAGCTCACCGACAATGGGATTTTACCATTCGAAAGCTGTCGGTCTGACTGGTCTGGCTGGACTCACGAACACCGGGTCTGTCG